CCAGGCCACTTACATTGTAACCCCGCTTCGCCGTATTTCATCGATGAGAAGTAAGTTTCACTCAAATACCATCTTCTCTCGAATCACTGCTCTGTGGAACAGAGTTCCAAGAGGACGTTTCCCCGATCACTACAATCTTAACCTGTTCATGTCTAGAGAAATATAATCTAATGTTTTTTTTCAAGCAGAAAAATGCAAATATCTGGGAAGTGTTTTAAGAGAGGACATGAAATGCAATACTGAAATCAGGTGCATTGCAATAAAGAAAGATGCCTGTTAAAAGCTATGCAAAATATTAAAAAAATAGAAAATTTTCGTTAGCAACAAAGAAAAGAGTGCTGAACTGTTATGCAATAATTTATTCACAGATGAAGAGACACGAGGCGACAGAAATGCGATTTTTCAGAAGGATGCGAATAACGTGGAAGTTTTAAGGAAGATGGAAACAAAAAAGACGCTTATATTTAGACTTAGAGACACAGTTGAAATTTCTAGGGTACATAATGAGGAAAGAAGGTTTGGAGAATTTGACACTTACATGACGTAGTGAATTCAAGAGGGACAGAGGTGGATAGCTAATAACATACATCGAACTTGTGCAAATGGTTGGCAGAACAGGGATGGGAGTGATGGCGAAAAGACAAAGCTTACTAAGATCTATAAAAGGTAGGAATTTGTGGAGAGCCATGATCACCCACGCCCTGAAGGGACACGGCACATAGATGATGATGATGATGATGATGATGACGATGATGATGATTACAAAACTATAAGCCTTTTGCATTGCACACGGACTTTATAGAACTCCCTATGAGTGAGTGAGTTTGTGCGTGTCGACGAAATGGCATGGATATAGAAAGTGTGTTTGGTGTCTTGTTAAGGCTCTAATGACCTTGAGTAGTAAGTCATGAATCTCTCTTTTCCACGCAATCTGTCTCTCATTCTTTTAGAAAGATCTTGTCATGCAAGTATGGATGACGGAGAAGACAATAAGAACCATCTTATTTCGATACTTATTTTTCTACGTAATAACTATAAAACTATTACTTCAGGTTCTATCTATCTATCTATCTATCTATCTATCTATCTATCTATCTATATGTGATTAATACAAATATAAAATGTGTCACTTAGCTGATTGATACTATATTCAGCACACCGACTGCAGAGTTTCGAAGACGAATTTATTCGTAATCGTTCGATCCACACGTAAGGAACAATTGGTATATTCTCTTTCATTTGTATCTATCTATCTATCTATCTTTATTAAAACAAATATAAAATGCGTCACTTAGCAGATTGATGCTATATTCAGCACCCCGACTCCAGAGTTTCGAAGACGAATTTATTCGCAATCGTTCGGTCCACACGTAAGGAACAATTGGTACATTCTCTTTCATTTCTATCTATCTATCTATCTATCTATCTATCTATCTATCTATCTATCTATGTTTAATACAAATATAAAATGTGTCACTTAGCTGATTGATACTATATTCAGCACCCCGACTCCAGAGTTTCGAAGACGAATTTATTCGCAATCGTTCGGTCCACACGTAAGGAACAATTGGTACATTCTCTTTCATTTATATCTATCTATCTATCTATCTATCTATCTATTTATCTATCTATCTATCTATCTAATCTAACTCTATTTAAACTTGGTGAGTGAAGAAAAAAACCTGGAGTGTAAAATTTTCAAATAAATTGGCATCCGAGGAAAAAGGAAAAAAAAACAAACCTTCGAACAGGGGGAAATGAATCGTACTGTACCTTAAGTTTCTGGTACAAAGAAAAAAACCCAGCGAGTAATAAGTTAAAACGAAGAGTGCTCAATAAATTAAGTAGAGCAAAATTAAAATACATAAATCCTAATGAGCCAAGTACTACCTACCTTGTTTTCACTACATGGGATCATCATGTGGTGAAACCTTGATGGTAGTGCCTGCCTCATTAAGATTTATTTATTTTATTATATATATATATATATATATATATATATATATATATATATATATATATATATATATATATATTGAAATAAAAAATGCTACTGCAATTAGAAGAGAAAACAATTCATTAAGACGAAAATGTTTATGAAGTCTTTTAATGGCTAGATAATCCGCTGTAAATTTGCGTTCAGGTTCTTACAACATTTCACAATTCTTGACAGATCTGTAATCGCAATCTGGAATATTTAAGAACAAAGATGATGGTATCAAATAGAAAAAAAGAATCTTAATGAAATTGGCTAGATTATAGGCACAAAACATAAAAAAAAATCTTCTAAAAATTAAAATTCCTATCATTGCTCAGTCATGTGCATTTGTAGTATCAAAGTAAACAAAGCTAATCTGATGAAGACCTAAGGAACGACAGGCGTGACACAAAATATTTCCAACTTTGTCATACTACTTTCATCCAAAATTGTTTTTGATATATAAAAAAATTATATATCGTTATCCCATAATATATATGAGTCTCCATCCAGGTCTTTGAACAAGAACAGAGTTTTATTGTTTTCTGCTTAGGATTGTGTTTCAGGTTCCTCCTGAAGTTTTCCTATTTTCTTTCACTCCCAGTAACGTCTTGCGTCTTAGTAACATGGGTGAATTTGCTTGGGTGAATTAATTAATATATATATATATATATATATATATATATATATATATATATATATATATATGTGTGTGTGTGTGTGTGTGTGTGTGTGTGTGTGTGTGTGTGTGTGTGTGTGTGTGAAAATATATAGAAAAAATAGGAAAAGAAATCGATAGGTAAATAATCCAAAGTTCTTTAGTATTTTGTTATTATTTTTAAAAATAGTGCTCGATACAAAAGTAGAGCATAAAATATGATTATTTATATAAAATCATATTTTTAAATAAATAATTATATATATATATATATATATATGTGTGTGTGTGTGTGTGATGAAACCTCCTGACGAGTGGACAGAACGGTTGGTAAACGAAAGTCCAGTGTCGAGTTGTTTAATATGATAATATGACAATAATTAATTAATTATATATATATATATATATATATATATATATATATATATATATATATATATATAAAGAGAGAGAGAGAGAGAGAGAGAGAGAGAGAGAGAGAGAGAACAGAATGACAAATGATCTAACATTTTGTCGGTTTAATAAAAGCGTAAAGAATGAAAAATTTGTTTTTATTTTCAAAATGTACATTCCATGTCATTTTATTTCATTACATTTTAAAAATTAAATCAGTCAAGTGGGTGCCATTACTTTACATATAGTGTCGAAGGCGGTCATTCACGAAAGTTGTTCATAACACTTACGGGTCATTTCATGTAAACTGACAGTAATTTCTTGACGAATGACATTTTTTTTTATTGTTCAATAGATCGAAGGCGATGAATGTATACCTTTGATTTCAGGTATCACCACAGTAAAAAAACGTCTGGGTTCAAATCAGGGGAATTGGAGGGCCAACTCTCTTTGTGTTGCAATTACCGAGTCGTTATTCTTGTTATGAAAGCGCAATGCTCACTCATCCAATTTATGTTGGCGACTGAAAACGAAATGAAACAAAATGGCATTATATGTACATTTCAAAAATAAATACACATTTTTAATGTATTTGGCTTTTATTAAACCTACAAATGTGTCAGATCATTTTGCCATACTCTTTTATATACCGAGTGTAACCGCAAAATTGTCCAAATCGCGTAACAGCATAATTGTCCACTCCACAAAATGTTTAATATCTAAAAACCAATTGACTAAATTGAGTTTCTTTTTTCCAGATTTTCAGATAAGACGTTTAACCATCTTGACGCCATTTGTAGTGAGAATCACTGAAATGGCTTTGTGTCAGCCTCATTGTCTTTTCAAATGCGCAATGGTGTGAGGAAAAAGATCATTAAGACCTTAATTAATGGTGTTAAAATTCATACTTTGGCTTTCGTATTCAAGGTTCATTCAAGAACCATCCAGAAAACGGTGAATAAGTCTAAAAAAAGAGGAAACACTAGGGAAGAAACTTGGATCAGGAGGTCAAAACAGGAAGAGGGATCATCATTTTAACTTAGAGCTAAAGAGATCGATTAGAAAAGATCCAACTCAATTCATAAAACGTTTGGCACATGAGAGAGGAGTTTCACCTATGACAGTCCAAAGAGCAATGAAAAGACATCGTACGTGAAACCTGTGAGGAACCTTGTTAATCCAGGACAGAAAGTTAGACGGTTAGAGAGGGCTAAGATCATCTTGAATATGTTGGATAATGATCCTGGAATAGTATATATATATTGGAATTTAATTTCAATCTTTCATGAGCTTCCGATCCTTAACTATGATTAATTAAAGATGAACATGTTATTTTTGTTTATAATCGATTTCATTACGATTCTTCTGTTAAACGTGAAGAGTAATTGTACATTCTTATTGATCAAAGTAGAGCCCAATAGTTTTATAAAAACCTCGGAGATTCACCTTAAGATATCTTTAATCATTTCTAAGATAGAGCCGTTCAAAGCTTAATCTAACAAATGGACAATTTTGCTGTTACGCCCTTTATGTATGTTTTATGTATGAAGAAGTGATGAAAATCCAATCCAATTTTCCAAAAATCTGACCAACAGATCAAACGTCACAATTTTGTGTGGAAGCATTTCTTGGTTCTGACGAGAACTTTTCAATACTGCATACTGATTCAATATCTATCTATCTATCTATCTATCTATCTATCTATCTATCTATCTATCTCAATTTGTTCATATCTATCTATCTATCTATCTATCTATGAAGGCTCAGCTTAGTAGGCGAAAACAATTTTCTCCATAAAAAAGAGGTTACTGTTTGAAACTTTGAGACGCACACACAATCTGTAATTTGTCTGTCTCTCTGAATACGCACATACACACGCATGTGCTTGCATTTGTGTGCGCAGGTATGTATAAGTGTATATAAGTATGTATGCTGTAATATTTGGCCTGGAGCCAAATTTTACGCTATAGGCTAAAAAATAGATCTCAGTAGCAGCAGGAAAAAAAAGAATGAGACCCAATAAACAAGAAAGTTGAGAAGAAAAGCAGAGAGAGAGAGAGAGAGAGAGTTGGAGAGTGAGAGTGAGGAGAGACGGTGTGTTACAGAGTGAGGAGACAGAGAGATAGAGTAGGTAACAGAGTGGAAGCGACTGTGTCGGTGAGAGAGAGTTGGAGAGAGAGAGAGAGACGGGACAAAGCAGAGAGAGAGAGAGAAAGAGAGAGAGAGTGAGAGAGAAAGTTTAAGAAAGAGATAGAGAGAGATTGAAAGCAGCTGCGACTAGGGTCTGTTAAACACGTTTCTTAGGATTGTTATCAGTTGTAGCTGGCGTAACGCCTTGTGCGCGCACCGGGGGGAATACTCTTTACTCAGAACTGCTGGCTTTACTCGCAGCTTTGCCCCTTCAGCTCGCGGAGAAGTTACGAAATAGATTCATGGTTGCTGAAATTCATTGGATAGGTCGGTGTTTTGTAGGCGGGGGCCTTGTTGTACTTTGGTCCCGACGCAAAGGCACACACACACACACACACACACACACACACACACATATATATATATATATATATATATATATATATAAATGGGACGTTGTTGTTGTTTTTATGCAATGCATGTACAAATTCATCTTGGCATAATTAAAATCGCTTTCTCCTCAACATCGTTGAACCCTGATTTATAAATGGCCTTTTTTTTTTAAAAAATACTATGTCCCTGTAGAGGGCCATGATCACGTAGGTGATGCAGGACCTCCACTGGTTCTTTTTCTTTATTATCTGTGAACTGCTGTCTTTTTGCGAAAAAAGTTGATACCAGTTTCCTTTTCTATAATTTTGAATTCAGAATTTTCCTTCTCATAGATTGGTTGCTAATCAAGATTATCCAGCTCAGTCAATCCTGCCATTTAACACAAAGCGAGAAGAGATGGATCCATTCTTTTCCAAAGTACATTACTGAGAAAGCGAACGGGGAGTATTAATCAGGTGTGGACTTTGCACTCAATTTCACGCCACACCAAGGAAGCCAGGTACAGATTTGACGTTAGGCAACACCCAGTCGAGGGTGCAGATCAGCGATTCACACGTTGTTTGTAGTAACTCCTACGAGAGGTGAACATCTGTGGGCAAGGTTAATATATGCGCGCGGGAGAAAAAAGAAACATCGAACGGACAGATATATAAACAACCGTTCCCGATAGGAGTTGGGCAGTCTTGCAGACATCGCAGTTCGTTAATGTAAGGACCAGGGACAAAGGGGTCACTTCACACATTCGCACACACATTCGCACACACACACACACACACACACACACACACACACACACAAACACACACACACACTGGATCACAGTAATCGATAAAGTATTGCTTTCAATGCCGATAACTGTAGCGATATCAGTTGTCAGCTGATATCTTGTTAAGGAGACATCTGCTGGATGTTACAGAAATCGTTTTGACAATTGTCGTCTTGACAAAGGTCAGCTGAGTGGAGTGGACCTCACAAGAACCATGCCAGCTGGTCCTGGATTCTTTATGAATGACATTTTAGTCGAAAATTGACAGAATAAAGAAATCTTGTACTCTATAAGACAGTAGTCCCTAGCAACCTAAAACAGATTCTTCTTGAAAGGAAGGCGCACAGTGCTACAATTTTGTCTCATAATTGTTTTCTTGGGTAACGACCCGACCAAAGAATTATTTCCTTGTACTACGCAACAAGCGTTCGACTGGAAGAAGTTGCACTATGCTAATGAACCTGGTGCCTGGTTTGATCTGCAACGATACACTGTTTCGCAAATTTCCTTAACCCTTTCTTTGTAAATTCTGAGTTTGGGTTATTGAAATACTGATTTGGAGAAGTGTCTGTTGGTGTGCGTGTACACAAATGTATTTTTATTCTCATACGCACAGACACAAATATACATAAACCGCAATTTTTTTTTGCTGCAATACTTTAGATGAGGAATTATTATATACTTTCCTTTTTGGCGCTGCATGCTCATCTGAATTGCGAGGCTCATGAAGTTTCGACCGTTGGCCCATTCAGCCCTGTATATTTTCGTCCTCTTTCAGTAACCTCCGTATTTCAAACCGAACGATGTCTTTTTTTTCAATCTACGCAGATGGCTTGTTTTAATCCTGCTTTCCACACTAGGAGGATGTTTTAAATCGGTTAATAATTACTTAGTATGCAATGGTATGTTATATTCTACTAGTTTCTTTATTTGCATTTCTAGCCTGTTGCCCCCCCCCCACCGATTTCATGCTCCCTGTCACCTAGTCTTCAAAAATATAAAGGCAACGCCAATAACCATATTCTGTGTTCCTTGTTTTATTGTCCTTACTCTTCACTAACGTCTTCTTGTTCTCTTCTACTTTCAGTAAGCCCCTTGCTTCTTAGTGGCATTATCACCTTAATGGTGGTGAAATGATTAAAAAAAGAAAAGCATATATCAAGATAGTTTTAATAACAAGTGCCCTGCCACAGGTTCAATATTTTGACATATTTACACGTCATAGGTATTACACTGTGAAGTAATATTTAACGAGATAATCTATCAAATTATTTCTACTATATAAGCTGGTTTCCATCATCATCGTGGAGCCTCAACAGGGAACAATGGTTAATAAAAAATTCGCAGAGTATTGCCATTGTCCAAGTACTTCGATGTATAGATCAGTTCTAACACATTTAGTATAGGAGATAAAGAAACTGACCATAGAATAAGAGGTAGTTTCACCCAACACCGTAAGTTGCTGCTGAACCAAAACATTAACCTGAAAACTCTAGTTATGTTCTTAAATAGCTTTGTCAGATGGAAACTTTTTATATGGATGTTACACATGGCGCCAAAACCCGTTCAGAAATATCTAAACGGTCTGCAGTATACAACCGCTTTCTAAGATCAATGGTTAAAATAAATTTGAGTGAGTGAAGCCCGTGGGTCTTGCAGAAGACCACGCTTCTTCGAACCTTGTGGTACATAATCACAGAGAATATACCAAATAACAGAAACCGTATCACTTGAGGACAATCAACAGTAGCAACAACTAAAATGCATAGCACAAAAAAGTAACGGCATAATGAAGCTATTGACATTCCACACAACATCAAACAACTGATAGTACAAGCTGCTCGGTCTATAAATGCCGGATGCTTCCTTATAAGGGAACGGTTAATATTGCCATTACCAGTTTGACCTTCATGCGGTCCTCTGTTTGCCTAAACTAATATTACAGACATGATTAGACACCTTGCATAGTGAAGATGGTTTCCATGTTTGACTAGTGTAGGGAGTTCGAAATTCTCAGTGTGCTTCATTGTGCCTTATTCGATAAGGTCAAAAAATAGTTATATGAATATTGTCTTTTTCAGATAATGAAGCCAATCATTAGGATTCTAATGAATTAAGCTTATAACAGATTCAGATTGGAAATAGGACAAGAAAATTGTGGCTTTTTCAAGACACTGAAACAAGAAATGCAATGTTTAGGATACAAATGCTTTCAGGGTAAACAATATAAATGTAGGCAGACCTATAATTCGGTTTCATAAAAGGTAGGACTTACTAGAGATACTTGAAAAGCTTGATTTGCATAGATAAGAAATCCAGTAAATGCACAAGAATAGAAAAATAATTATATTGAATATAGGCTTATATAAGATTTGTAGCGTTGGTAGCTATTTGAAATAACAGAAAAGCTTGAGTTACAGGGGAAAGCTATTCGAGTAATCCTCAACCCTTACTGTGGTTCATTGAATGTACAAAAATAGAAAGTGGTATAAGACAAAGGCGCGTTTTCTCTCCGGATCTATTTAGCCTATCCAGCGAGACGACCCTAAGAGAACGAGAATTATCTATCATAATCTTAACAGTCTAAGATAAACGGATGACAATGTGTTGATAGCACACGCAGAATGAAAACTGAAAGGTAGTAATAGAAAGCAAGAATAAAGGGTTATTAGCCGTAAAAAGCACAATACATGAACGTCAACCCAGGCATGCAAAAAAAATCGATAACTGCATTCGTCACAAGTGGGAAAAATTTTAAATCTGCATGACACTTTACTCCAATTGGCTCATTCGCTTGCTTAAACTCAACGTTGATTCTGATTCTACCGGGTTGGGTGTGAAAAAGTATTTGTTCTTAACATTTTGTTTAGTTCTTTTTTCGTAACAGATTTAATGTTTAGTATAGAGCTTGGAAAAAATTCGCAGTGTAAGATAGGCAAGAAGTAAGGCATGTAGCAACATCAGCACGGCAAAGGGCACTCATTTAAAGGCAAGGAAGGGCAAAAATATTTTAAGTCAAGTGTTAGCGATTGTTGTATGAGTCGTGCGATTTTTCAATCAAGCACGGGCAGTGCCGGGCCATGCTGCTAGTATATATATATATATATATATATATATATATATATATATATATATATATATATCAAAAACAGTTAAAATCCCGTAGGTAATAATTTTTATTTCATGAAACCTATAAAGAGTAGCTTTCAATCTTTCAGACCTACAAACCAAATATAAATGGAAAAAATTACTCCAAGTTAAAATCAAGAAACATTGATAACATATTGAAAGATTGGCAAAAAGAAAGAGGCAAATTTATGATCATGTAAGGGGCGGTGGTGGTGGGGATAATGTGAAGACCCTAGCATTTTTTTCAGCAGATTTTAAGGTTTGTGGTGACCTAATTTAATATATTGATTTCAGGTTTAACTCACTACATTAATATGGCATTTAAGGAAAAGGGTAAATGAAAGTTAATGTTTAGTCAATAGAATTAGAAAAACACAGTCTTATTAATTTATTACCTATGGGATTTTAAGTGTTTGATATTCATTAATTAATGATTTTGCTCCGTCTCTGACATAGAGCTTTCCCTGGATCAATATCCTCTTCGAAATTCCATACGGATTACCATTTTTATTATATATATATATATATATATATATATATATATATATATATATATATATAGAGAGAGAGAGAGAGAGAGAGAGAGAAATAAATGAGAGAGAGAGGGGGAGTGGGAGATATAGCTAGAAATATAAAATAGCTATGAAAAGAATGCGATAGATCAATAAGAGAAGATATAGATAGATAGATAGATAGATAGATAGATAAGAAAAGACATAGCCAAACACACAGACAGACAGACAGACAGATAGATAGATAGATAGATAGATAGATATGAACACGCTGATAGATAGATAAAAATAAAGAAAGAAAGAAAGAAAGAAAGAAATTAACACGCTGATAGATAGATAGATAGATAGATAGATAGATAGATAGATAGATAGATAGATAGATTGTCATGTAGATGGATGCATTAGCCTCAGATATAAAAAAGACATGTGCCGCTGTGGAGGAAGTAAAATGTGTTGGGAAATAGATCCTCCTTTAACACGACAATAAATGGGGAAAATCTACAGCTGCTTTAAAAAAAAAAAGATGTCTTTTTTTTTCTAAGCGCTTTTTTGCACCACTCTTCCAACTTAACATATGTGAAGGTTATTCTGTTAAAACAATACACAGTTCCTTCACTCCACTCGCACTCTCAAAGACAGGCAAACAGACAGACGGACGGAGATCGGTCTATTTTACTTAAGCTGGGATTTATATGAGAAAAAAGTATTTGGCATCGGGAATATATTTTAATATATACTAATCTTGAAATGTACGAATATAGCAGTAGCTGGGTCCCATTGGGGGATTCGCTTTTTTTTCAAGCGCTGCACTGAATTTGAAAGATTTAGAAATATTTTAATTAAGTTAACCAACGTTTTTTTTAACAACATAACCTTACCTAAGTCCGGGAGATTTAAATTCCCTTTTATTTTAAATGGGCCTATATTATAGCAGTGGTTGCCTTATCTTCTAGATCTCAGACCTTCAAACGTAAAATCATTTATAAAATTAGAAATGACGTTATGTATAGGTGTATGCGCAAGCGCGTATAGGAATTGCATGATTTGATAATAAAGCAAGCCGCTCACATCTCTGTATGAGTCTCCGTTCTTAATAATCTCACATTTGGACTGTTCATACAGATTTGTGTATCGTGTATTATTATTATTATTATTATTATTATTATTATCCTCCCCCCTTCTTCTTCTTCATGATGTGTCGTGTCCCCTCAGGACGTAGGCGATCATGGCTCACCAACATTGCCTGTCCTTTGTAGCTCTTAATATTTTTTCTTTTGGTTATTCCATCAAATCCTGTTCTGTCATTCATTTACTCAAGCTTACTAAGTATGTTATGCGTGGTTTTCCTGTTCCCCTTGCCTTCAATCTGTCCTGTGAGTATCAGATTTTCTAAGCCCTCTTTTCTCATTAGATGCTCTAGAAATTTCAGCTGTCTCTTTCAGTATTAATGTCCTTTTTGCCGCCATTGTCTCTAGAATTTTCATTTAATGATTAAACTTTTGTATCAACTGATATTGCAAATCGTTATTATTTACAGAGTAGTGTCTTTTGGATTTACTGGGGGGGGGACTCATAACTATGGCCTTGTACCAACCAAACATAAGTTTAATAAGTAACTATGAAGTTGCTTCCTAAGATTCTCTTTCTCTCTACTTATCAAAATACATAAAAATGATGAGAATTTTGCGTATTTTTAAAGCCAGCAGAATTTTTATCAAAAAAGAGCCCAGTTGATGACTAAAACGAAAATAGTCTATAGATTAATTAGTCAATCTTAAACGGACTTATTTCATTGACCAACTCCAGAGTTTCGCGTAACAACGCTCTTCAGGGTCAGATAAATTTACTGAATTATAACCAGATATTATATTTATACTCCAAACAACAAACGATGATTGCAGATACCAAAATACAAATTTGAAATGCACACCACACTTGATTGATTTTTTTTTTCGGATTACCAACCCTTTTGGAGTTATTTAAAGCCGAAATGTATTTCGAATTGCAGGAAATCGCTGACAGTGTCCGATGTTTCCAAGCGGTCCCCTAGTTGGGTACTGACTGCTTAACTTCGGATGCACCACGGTAATTCACGTTAAGAACGTGACAAGAACTTCCACATATTTTAATATTGTCACGAGTTGATAAGCCGTAAAAAAGAAATCAATCAATCATTTATTGGACCCTGTGAAACTTAGAGATGGTCAATGAAATAAGTCCAGCAGTAACATTTATTAATCAATAGATAGATAGATAGATGTGAACATATTGGAACAGATTGAGATAGATAGATAGATAGATAGGAAGGATGGAAGGAACTAAATCGAAACATACATGAAGGACCTGATTATCTTTTAGGCTAATAGCTGCAGATTTTAATTTTCTAGATGTTATAACTTCTATATAGATTTATATACTGAAATGATATCAATGTGGATATATATATATATATATATATATATATATATATATATATAAGCAAAAAGCCAGAAGAGAATTCTACAAGCTCAAAGTGCGATAGAAGAAACTGTTAGCATAGAAGTTACGGTTGCCTCTAGCCAATTTAACGGTAAAATGATGAAACCTTGCCGCTAAATCTGGTACTGCGCTTAAGTTCATAAAGTCTAGGTACCATAGCGGAAAGTTCTTCAGAACAGTTATCATGACAATATTCATAGAAAAGACATAGGGAAGCTACGTCACGGCGGTGGAAAACGGACTGAAGCCGAGGTGCTAAGTCAGTACCAATAACATTGCAGATTCTTCTTTGGATTTCATCAAGGATCTCAAGATATATAGCAGGAGCACTACACCATATATGGCAGCAATACTGAAGGCAAGGACGAATGGTAGGCATAAATATGTAAGATAGATTCTGACAAGAAAAATTATCTAGCACGAAAAAATTAGTCCGAGAAGGCTCAATGAGAAACTCTCCTGGAGGTTAGCATCAGCCATAATGATGGAAGGTAAAATGGATTCTCTCAGATGATTAAAAGAGAGTAGTTTCGTTTTTGAGGCGTTAAAATTAAGGAACTAATCCTTGCTCCATTTAACAACAAATTGTAGGTATTTTTTTCTATATCAGCTGCCAATTTGACCTTTATCGAACCAATCAGACTTACTATTAAGTCAGGAGTATGTAGTTGTGTCATCAGCATAGATATTTGAGAACTCATGACATCATGAAGGTAATTTATGAAACTTAGGAACAACATAAGTCCAAGGATATAGTCTGGGAAACATCTGTATTTATGCAAAAAAGATCTAGAGGAGTGGCCATTCAAGACAATTTTCATTTCGCGATTTCACAAGAAAGACTGAATCAGTTCAAAAATTTGTCGAGAAATACCATAATATTTCAACTTGTGAAGAAGACCAGCAAAACCTGTCAAATGACTTCGAGATATCCAAAAGCAACACACACACACACACACACACACACACACACACACATATATATATATATGGTAATTGCTCCGAGGAGCTGCATTCGCTGGTGCCCAGACTTCATGAATTCAAGCGCCCTACGAAGCTGGCATCCCGCTCTCACCCTTTCACTGTCGAAACTCCTAAATGTAGCAGTCTCTTCTACTCCAATAGCTTCATACCACGCGCCTCTCGCCTGTGGAACACCCTTCCCTATTACTGTTTCCCTGAGAGATATAATCAATGTAATGTCAATCGATATCTCCAGATGCCTTGATCTATCCACTACCCTTCTCCTCATCCTTTCTTCTATCACTCCTATCTGATCTTGCTCCAAATTTTCTGTAACCCCTTGCGTCCTAGTGGCTTCACGCCTTGCTTGGGGTGAAACGCTTAAATATATATATATATATATATACCCGAATGTAATGAGAACGAAAATAATATATAAATTCTACCGTTCACAGCATTAATTCAAAAGAGGGCTCAATGTCGATAGTAGAGCAATAATTATTTATCATAATTTTTTTCATATAGACAAAAACAATTTACTTACTACAAAGATTCAACTTTGTTTCGGTGCATTTAGTTGCACCTCGACTGGTGAGAACCAAAATGCTTTTGAACAATTCTGTTTGTAATCAGGCCGCACGTGGAACATCACTTCTTTTTTTCTATTTGTTTGAAAAAAAAATTATTAAATTATTAAATCAAAGCAATTATTAAATCAAAGCAATTATTAAATAAAAGATCTGAAACCACTGTTTTTTGTAGGCATATTAAAGATATAATATTACAATCTTGCTAAACTTTCAAATCCATAACCCTAAACGTTTAAAGTTACAACTCACCTCCTTTGATATACTTTCTACCCTCTTATATACCTTTCTACTAATCTATCTTAGATTATGATTCTTAAAATTTTTTTGCACATATATAATACTATTAATGGTATCAGATAAACTGATTTACATCCATACTTATTCCACAAGTTATACAGTCCGACAATAGGACAAAATTTGTTTATAAAAGTTACATTAATATTCCATACTTTTTATATACTTTTCTACTTATATCTTAAATTCTAAACTAAAACTATTGTTACAAAAAACCCAAATAACTTATGCATTCAATATACCAAGAAATAATATCCACCTCTTAATTTATTAATTTACAAAATGCATTCATTGATTACAAAACGAGTAGCAATAATTCCGGCATAAATCTACGCAATTCAACTCTGGCTTTGTTTTAAAGTTACCAAAAACATTTCTAATTACTACTATACTCGTTTAAACTTATCCCTTCTTTTTCCTTCATTGTCTTATTCTCTCCTATTCCCCAATTTCCTTCACTACCCCTCACTCTTGGGAGGCTTGGAAATGCTGTGCTTAACACCTTGACCGTTGCTGTCAATTAAAATTTTTCGGGTCGAGCCATCACCTTAACACTTCAACAATCCTTCACCAAACTGCTATCAAGAAGCACTATTGTTTCTCTCTGTCACACTTTTGCCTTTCCTATCTTTTCTTTATCCTTGTACGTCTCCTCTTAATTTTTTTCAAACAAATAGAAAAAAGGAAGTGACGTTCCACGTGCGGCCTGCTTACAGACAGAATTGTTCATAACCATTTTGGATCTCACCAGTCGAGGTGCAACTAAATACACTGAAACAAAGTTGCATCTTTGTAGTGAGTAAATTGTTTTTTGACTATATATATATATATATATATATATATATATATATATGTGTGTGTGTGTGTGTGTGTGTGTGTGTGTGTGTGTGTGTGTAAAATATATAGAAAATAGGAAAGAACTCGTCAGGTAAATAATCCAAAGTATATATATATATATATATATATATATATATATATATATATATATATATGCCCAACCATCTACTATTATGCGTATTCTTATTTCATTTTTTATATTCTTTAATGTTATCAACTGAACTGAACAGATGTTTTCCTGGATTTCTTCCAGATCTTCACCCTCTGTTTTATTATCTCTATCGGAATGTTATTATCGACTAGGAACTTTTGTGTATATTACATTTTAAAGCTCTCTTGGCAATGTTTAGATCATTGGCATTTGTAGTAATTTATCTTAATTCGTGGCTAAGAATATCATGTCACGTGATTACCAGTTCCATAATCTATTGTTATTTCCCGTCAAAAAAGTAACATGCGTCGTTATTGACATAGCGACACCGTTTCAGCTATGTCATAAGAAGTTGTGTTTTAAAATCAACAGAGTAGAAAAAACGATGCCAGTCATAGTTAAAATGGAAAATTCTTTTGCCGGCAAAATGAGTTTCAGGTAACTCGCTAGTAATTTGTGCGACGATAAAGTTTCGCCGTTTATTTTTGTTTGTTTGATTTAACTCTTGCAAATGTTAAGCAAGCCAAAGTCGACAGTCTTTTTTTAGCCTGGAGACACGCAGGAAGCTTATTATTATTATCATTGTTATTATTATTATTATTATTCATGCTGACATGTTTAACGAAAATGAAACTATAATTATGATGTTAGTCTGCTCAACATAAAAACAATGGTCGCCCGTTCACGGTTTTTGAATGAGCAAATCGCTCACTGATTAAAGGAAGAGGCTCTAAATGACGCTTGGCTAACGTCGAATAGTTAAGCAGTTGAAGCTTAAACTGCGTTAATGGAAGAAATCAAGCGGGAAAGATTGGGTTAAGCCAATGATCCCATTGAAGACCGTCAAGAAAATATGCCCAAACAGTTTCATTTACTAAATTATCAAAACGTTATATATTGACTCACCTCAAGATAATAAAGTAATTTACGCTTCTTTAAAGCTTAGACTGTAAGATAGTCATGGGGAAGTGGTTTGCCAAATTGTTCACTGACTCCACTCGTCTCTATCAACTTCTGAATTATGTCAGGAATGATGCATTTTTCCGCATCTGGCGACAGTACAGAGTGTAGGGAAAATGAGTTCATACTTTTTATAAAATTATTAAAGGAAAGCTAGAAGAAAGGACTAACAATTAATTAGAATAGGACAGAATATATAGTTGTCAGCAAGAGGAAGAAGCGGACGACGTGCTGAAGACTCCAAAATCAAACAAATACAAACATTTACACATCTGGGAAGTGTTTTAACAGACGACGGAAAAAAAAGTGGCACCGAAATTCAAAGGCACGTTGGGAGATCGAAAGGTGCCTTTCAAAAGTTGAGCAAAGTATCAAGAAACAGGAAAAATTCATTAGAAACAAAGAAAAAATGTACTGAATTGTTACTTAATGTCAAACCTATATGGCAATGAATGCTGGACAATCTACTCACACATGCAGGTAACAGAAATGTGGTTCTACAGAAGGATGCTGAAAATACCACAGACTAAACATGTGAGCAACGAAATAGGTTTAAGGAAAATGGAAGCAAAAAGGACGCTCATAATCAGAATCAGAAGTAGACAGTTGAAATTTCTAGGACACCTAATCAGGAAAGACGGTTTGGAGAATTTGAAACTCAAAGGACATAGGCAAGATGGACTGAAACAAAGTAGCGTGTAAATTACCTAACGAGTGTGTGTGATAGAACAGGGATTGGGAGGGATAGAGAATAGACAAACCTTATTAACAGCTATAAAGGATAAGAAACTATAGAGAGCTTTGATCACCCACGTCCGGAAAGGTCAAAGCGCATCTGAGAAGCAATCTTAGCCGAAAGTTTAATATGGTTTGTTGGTTTAGTTTTCTGTGCAAACCGACTAAGAATTACGATCGATGAAAACTCTATTCATTTACCTGGAATATCTGAGGAAATGTAGGACCCCATTTCTCCCGGGGTCATAAAATAAAATTTCAGAAAAATCATTTAAAGAAATCGAATATATCTGTATATAAAGGGTGTTCCAATAACCGATTTTA